TTTTTTTTTTTTTTTTTTTTTTTTTTTTTTTTTTTTTTGAAGTGTTCATGCTTAAATATTTGGAAATGACTTCTCGAAAGCCTTGTAAGAATATAATACCTATATGTGTCTAAAGTGAATCTGTCTTTCTCTCTCTGTCAAGATGTGAATGTGCTCTGAATTCAGAGTATTTTTTTCTGAAGACTGCAGTGCTCTGATGCTCTGTGTTCATACAGGAGAACCTTACCGTCTAAACCTTTCATTCCTTCCTCTTCTACTTGTTTATAAAACCAGTTAATAACAGTATTTTTAGTTTACATTTTTAGTGTTATAAAAATACAATTTTGTGCGATTAAGTCTGTTGTGTGTTTGTTAATGTATTCAGTAGAATTTTGTATATGAGACTTTTCACTGAAGTATAGAGTTAAAACCCTTTGATTATTTCAGTTACTGATGATGAAAAGATCACATTAACTCAATAGAAAAGCGTGTTTATATCTGTCCCATGTTTAAATGAGTTTTAATGAACAGATCAGATATTTTATTCTGATCAAATTTGAATATAAATATCAGTCTAAAAAATCTGCCAGCCTTTCCAGAGTGTTGTGGAACACTTTCCCTCCTGCCTGCTTGGACTGTGTTTTCCCCCTTTCTGGGAGATTTTTTGTTGTGTTCTGTTTACTTCTTTCCTTATAATAAAGCCTATTGCCCACTCTGCATTAAAGTCCTCCTCACCTATTGTTATATTTTTATGTTTCTCTTCCTCCATACTGAAGAGTTTCACAATATGGCTCTGTAGGTTTTTAGACACAGACAAACCAAAACCATCCAATAATATACACAAACTCCAATGCAGAAGCTGTTTATCAACACATCAGACCACATTTCTGTACTGATGTAGCCTAAATAAACCGCAGCAAGACTCTGACTCCGTTGTTTTGACCCAGCGGATGGGTTGTTTTGACCCAGCGGTTGGGTTGCTTTGACCCTGCGGTTGGGTTGTTTTGACCCAGCTTTTGGGTTGTTTTGACCCAGCAATTGGGTCATTTTGACCCAGCGGTTGGGTTGTTTTGACCCAGCTATTGGGTTGTTTTGACCCAGCGGATAGGTTGTTTTGACCCAGCGGTTGGGTTGTTTTGACCCAGCGGATAGGTTGTTTTGACCCAGCGGATAGGTTGTTTTGACCCAGCTATTGAGTTGTTTTGACCCAGCGGATGGGTTGTTTTGACCCAGCGGATGGGTTGTTTTGACCCAGGGGAAGGGTTGTTTTGACCCAGCGGTTGGGTTGTTTTGAACCCAACCACTGGGTCAAAACAACCCAACCATTATAGTTATGTATTATCTTCATGTCACCTTGGTTGAGACAGAAAAACAGTGCTGGGAATAGCTCTGATTTACAGGAAAAGAAATACCCGGGGTGTGTATGGGCTTGTGCTTTTATTTGTATAGGATAATCCTAGGATAATAATTCTTTGAATCCACCTTATTCTTCAATGCGGAAGTAAACCTATGGGCGAGACTTCTGGATCATTAGCCGCTATAGGGAAATAACGAGAAGAAACGTGCAGTAAACGGTAAAACTGTTTGCACTACAAACCAGTGTGTTCATTATTAAGATAGTACATTAAAGTAACATGGTAAGAGACACCAATTTGCAACATCCAGCAGAAAAATTTGCTAAAAATAGCTGGAGGCCATGAGACCGGAAGCCAGACACATTACATTTACAAACGGCTTCGCCCACTCTTACGGGAAAAATAAGGTGGATATGGGATCATTATTTGTATAAGATAATTATAGGATAATTATTCTTTGTATAGGATAATTATTGGTGTCTTCTATGTACAGGATACTAACTTCCTTCTAGGTTTAAGCAATAACTGCTGCTGTTGTGAGATCTACTGTATTTAAAGACATAAAAAACACTAAAGATGGATTGAAATTATATGTGCTGTGAAAAGTCCTATACAAATAAACACGATTGATTTGATCAAATTCAGGTTATGTATTCATTATTATTTACATGTTTATTGTTTTTACTCTTGGGAAGCAGTAGACAAAAGTAATACAATCTTATGGCTTCTTTTCCCCATAATGATGTCTGTTTTGACAGTTTCTTATACGGCTATACTTTGGCTCAATTCTCAAAACATTTTTTTTTTCTTAAAACAGGAAGTTCAGACTTCTGAAGAATTACTGTCTTGTTCACACTAGACTTACATTTCTTATTAATTCAGGCAAATTGACATGTCTTGGCACATGTGCGTAAAAGAGTAAGTACAATTTTCTGTTTACATGTAACCATTTATTAAAAAAATAAAAAAATAAAAATAAAAATCTGGGTACTTCAGTGAATCGATTTTCAAGGGCTGTTTTTATTCAAATATTATATAAAAGATATATAAATATTATTATTAACCCTGCCTGGTTTAAATGTTTGAAAATGATTAACAGTTGAAAACATTTGTTAGAAATGTAAAAAATTAATCAAAAATAGAGTACAATGGGGCTAAAGGCGGGCAGCAGCGCAAAGCTGATTCTGTGCTTACTTGATCTAATATTTGATTTTTTTTTTTTTATGTTGTAGATTGAGAATCGCTAAAATTATTGAATATATTTTTAAACAAAGGTAAGAAGACCTAAATATCATATATTATGTTGGGTGTCCATCTTAGAGATAATCACCATGTTTAGAATGAAACCATCATATTTAAAAAACACAATATTATTCATATCATATTAAAAAATATATAATTTGTTGTTACTACTGTAAATCTATATTAAATTATTATGGGATCTCCTTCAATGCTTTCAGAATCTTTACTTTTTAAATGATTTTGTTTCTGTATTTTAAAATATATATTTTTTATAGTAACATTTTAATGACAGTATATTTATTGAACAAAAGTACTTTTAATATTTGTAATGTAATATTTTTTCTACAATCATACATTTTGGGTGCAGTGAAAAGCACATTTGTGCCTTTAGCCCTGTTGTACCATAATTAAAAGTAATCAGTTACATTACTTTAATAAAGTAATTGAAATAGTTACACTACTTAATACATTTTAAACAGGGTAACTTGTCATCTGTAACCTATTACATTTCCAAAGTAACCTTCCCAACACTGGTAGAAACATAGGACCGACCATCGGCTTGCCAAAGTGTTCGAATTGAGGGGGGGGGGGGGGGGGTCCGGACCTCCCATAAGCATTAAGGGACCCCCCATAACACCCAAAAATATACTTGGTTTTTAAATAAAACTTTAATACTTAAAATGAAATTTCGATTGCTGTATTAAATTAAGACCTGGTTATGTTACATCATATTTTATTTTTCAGCGTTTTTACAGCGTTGCTCATTATAACCAATCACAGACGATTCTGTTGAGCTTAGGAATGCAGTAGCCAATCAGAGGCGTTCAGATCAGTCACTGCTGAAACCCCAGAGTTTTGTTCAGACAGAAACTCCCGAATTCCCTCATCATAAGCAACAAAGTGCTGATGTAGGTACGATGTAAGTTAGAGATTCATTTATCATTTTAGACACCACAAACCAATAAAAATGGTTCCAAACAAAGCCACAAAAACATGACAGTGTTCGTTCCTGAATGAATCAACCGTTTAAATGATTCTGTTCAATCGCAATGACTCACTTAACAGTGACTTGCTGCCACCTACTGGCGGTTTTAATTTCACATTTTAAAGTACCTTTTTATATATATTTTTTAAATCATTTCAAATATCAGTATTCAACGTTTTAAGATTATAATATCAAAACATTATTTATGCATTTGTAACTGCAGGTTAGAGCATTCATGCATTGCAATAAACGGTGTATGCATCTAATGCCACTTCAGATGCAGCTTCTGTGTTTCCTCTGCATTGCATGAATTTTGTTGATAATGATTTTATTTGTTTGGTAACTGCCCCAAATGTCTTATTATTATAATTGACTTTATTGATTAAATATAAGACACACTTCTAGAAAAAAAATGGCTTTACAAAGGTAAAAATGCCCATAAAGGGTAAAAATAATTTTAAACTTGCTGAAAAAGATGATTTTCTGTCACTGCTGTGAACTGACCACCACAGAGTCAGCTGTCCATGACAGTCCTGCAGCGCAACACACTCAGCAAAGGTTAGGGGGTTAGGGGGACCCTTCAAGAGCTTTGACACAATTTGAACACTGCCCACAGCATTATTAGACTGGTCGGCTTGCTGATGGTGTGTCAAGCTGCTGAATTTGTGTGCT